TTAACAAAGTTGGCGCCGTAAATTTATTTAAAATGGACTCTTCGACGAGACGGTTGGGAAACAGATGTCGCTGGAATAGATGTCGCTACACATCTGCGCACTGTGGTGCCATCTGTCGGTAATTGTCAACATCAAGTTTATCGGAAATTTTAGTATCAGCTCTTGTCAGCAGATGGCACAGTAAAACTTTTTATTAATTTTATGTAGGTTTACTTCTTTAAATAAATATATTACAAGATTTAACAAGAGTTATAACAATAATTATTTATTAATCTTAATGTGCAACAAGATTTTATAACAATCGTTTGCTTCGATTGATTATTAATAACTCAGAATATATCTTTTGCTATCTTATTTTCTTTTTCTTCATTTCAAATCAGCGTCGCTTTTTTAAATGCGCTGCTACATCTCTAATCTCTTATAATTAATTAGTTTCATTCAATGGTTTGAATTTATTCAGAAAAATTTGAAAATTCACTTCGAAAATTTGATTGATGTGTACGTGACGAATGTTTAATTAATTAATGAGCTTCTGTCTCAGTACTGATCAAAATGTAGCTGATTTTTTGCTTGTCAATGATACGGAACAGTTGATAATCTGTGTTAATATTAATCTTTCTTAATATTTCAAAATGCGGTAAATGAATAGTTTTTAAGTTTTTATTGTAAACTTTTAGTCTCATTAATTTAAGGCAAAAATGGTACTGTTAGTTTCTACATTTTTATATAATTAAAAATTGAATTTATAAATTCACTATTAATTCATATAAAAATTCAACTACAAAGTCACTCTAACTTTCAATAATGTGGAGTATTACATTAGTCTATAAAATAATCGAATAAACGAATTCTTCTTGAGGAAATTCAACTCTTTTATCACATACTTGAACAATGATGTAAAATATTGATAAGTTAAAGTGCATTCCACTCTGATTAATCAAGTAAATATTGACAATAAAAAAGCACGTGCTGACTAAAAAAACGTCATCGAAGAGAATGAGAGGCAATCGGTACTATTAATACGTCAGTGTGTTGAGATATAAATTGATTAAAAATTCGTATAAAATGTGAGTCACGAAATAATTCGGAAACGTTTAATTATTCCTCGCATCTAAACACATATGATGAAATACTTGTTACTTATTTTCGGTAAAAACGAAATATTTAGTTGTTTCATTTGATTTTAATTTTCATCTTATTTCTTACTCTTCAATTGTTTATTCTCGTCGTTTGTTAAATTTACCTTCACTTATTAAATTCTGTTATTTCTTAATTTCTAATTATTATTTATTAAAGAATTTAATAAATCTTGCGTGAAACCGATACAAATTGCGTGCCGATGTTTAGGTGTCATCCTAGTTTCTCGAAGAGCTTCGAGCTTCACATTGGCGAACAAGGAAGTGTTTTATCAAAATTGCGAAATTTTTAACAACTCCGATATCTACGACGGGCCGATTTGTGGTAACAATGGGATCACCTATGCCAACAGTATATATTTGAACTGCCTCAATTATCAGATGTTTCAAAACGGTAAGCAACAAATGAAGTTCCCCCTCTTTGCAATTCTAAACTCCGTGTCTCGTGTAATTACGCGAGTTTGGGTCACGAGAAATTTAAACATTCACCGGGCACGTACACGGCCCGTACATGAATTTTTAATTCCACGGAACCGTGTTGCTCGCTATACCGTACTTGCTCTCGGAAGCCGCTTAATTCGGCGAAGAATACCGTAGCCCAGCTGCACGGCGAAATTATTCAAACTTCATTCATCTTCTTTTTCTTGCAATTTCCTAGACGTACACTCTATACTGTGTTAGCAGTATTTTTCAACGAGGCCTTCAATCCATTCTAATATGGAATAAAAATTTGAACGTATGAAAAAGTTGGAATATCATGTACGCCTCTTTTTTCAAAGGATAACTTTAAAGTTCAGTACATATTCTAGATCAAAACTATTTTCTCATCCGATTTTAAAATTAAATACGTATTTTTTTTCTGTCATTTTCTCTCACTGGTAATATTAATTATGTAGATCGTCATGTAATTATGTTAACTAATATTCATTTTTTATGAAGCTTCCTCTAAGTTTAAATTCGTATGAGAAACCTGTATAAAACACAAATAAATTATTGCACATAATAAATTAATGTCAGAATAATGTACTCCCAGTACCTCAACATTGTACCGACATAACTTATAGTAAGTTTCTCTCTTCTTACTAACATGAAATTTAATGATTTGCATCAAAATTAAATTTTAACGAAATCACGTACCAACCTAACGAATAAAAATCATAAGATTTAATTGAATTTAACTGAAGATTGCCGCGTATTTTTTGGAAATAAAAATATTGTATATATATGTATATATATATTCCTATATATATTTTTTCTTCGCAAATTATACTTTAATAAGTAATTTTTAATGTGCAAATTTTGTTTTCAGTCGTGCCTGTGCATTCTGGAGATTGCTTACCGATGGACGATTACTGCAAAATAAATCTATTTTATCGACCGGTCTGCGGCTCCGATGGGCACACGTACACGAACCTGGAATCACTTTTGTGCGTTAATTACAAGTATTCGCGAGGTAAGCAAGACAAATTCTACGTGCATTTACCCTGCCGTTAATACGGATTAAAGTTAGCGAAAGTTGGCTGGAAATTTAGTTGACCAGTCGGTCCGTGAGAGGTTCGCGAGGCCAGAATTCCAAACCTGCAAACTCCCGGCTCGTTGTTACACGCTAATGTCCGTGGCTATTGTTACATTTTCTCGTCTGGCCGTCGACTCGGTGTAACAATACAAACTAAAAATCCCTTATCTTCGAGTTAGCGGAATTCCGCGAACACTGCCAACGTTACCACTTTACAGTCTCTGTTAGTTTCTGCCGACTGTTAGGTCTGCCATGGATCTGACACAGAACTAGAATTTAGCTGGAGTTTGTCCTTGTTAAGTTCGAACTAGGTCCGCGCCGTGAATGAGATTTGAGAATTGTCAATCCAATTTTTATGCTGATTTAACAAGCTGTCATTCATAGATGACTTTCAATTAGGATTATTATTTTAAATTTTCATAAATAACATTCGGTGGCCATTATTCGTTATTTCAATATTGGAGCTGTAAGAGTGACATTAGATATCTAAATTCTATAATTTTGTGAAATTTTATGAAATTGAGATTTATAATATAAATGATAAATTATTCATTGGTCATTAATAAGTTAAGATTGGCATCAATCTTAAAATAAAGATATTAAAAGCTCGTTGTTGGTTGCCATGAATAGCTAGAATATTTTTGCAATATAAGTTTAAAAAAGGAAAATCATAAGTTTAATTTGAAAAGATATAATGTTAAATGGCAAAAATTATTTTAAAGGAAAATCATAAGTTTAATTTGAATTCATGAAGTCACTTAATTTGAAAAGATATAATTTCAAATGTCACTAATTTTAAGTGGCAAAAATTATTTTAAAATTATGACAGCTTCATTCCATATCAGTGAAATATTAAATATGAATATTAACTAGTAAAAATAAAATATTTTTAAAATATTGAAACTAATCTCGTTTTAGATATAATGGTAGTTTCAAACGGTGCGTGCAACATTATAGATCAGTGTTACGGCCAAGAGACTATAATGTACGCTTTCAACCCTGTCTGTGCAAATAATGGCTTCACGTATCAAAATGCAGCTCAGGTGAAGTGTTTGCAACGACTTAATACTAGTAAGTGTTCATGTATAAGCAAGGACAGAAATAATTACGTACAATGTGTTTCATAAAGAAAACAAAAATCTTTTCACTGTGTTTAATATTTTATATGGATCTAAATATCTATATTTTATATAAATCTAAATATCTAATATTTTATATGGATCTAAATATCTACTTCTAGATCTAAGGATTCTCCATAATGGAGGGTGCAGCGTTACGGAAGTTTACAGCATTTATAACAGGATCGAGAAGGTCTGTGACATTGCCAACAGTAGATACGAGTGGAATCCCGTGTGCGCTTCAGATGGCGTTACTTATCCCAATCCTTTTGAATTCCTGTGTTATCAAGCTGGTAAATATTCGCAATTTATTCTTTGTTATCACTAGGTTGCCGATTTTTATGCATTCCTGGGAAACTTGAAGAAGTGCAAGAATGCAGAAATACACAAAACATTTCAGATTATACTTAAATATGAATCAGTAATTTTGCAATACTTATTTTTTACTATTTTACTATTTGGAAAGATAAAATGATCTGTCTCATTGTTAGGCTTCTCCTGATTCAAACCTAACCTTCAAATTTCCCACAACATTTATTTTATTTCACGATTAAGTTTGCCAAGATGAATGACGTTATTTGTTAGGCTTTACCGGCTTCTTCCGAGCTGTATTTCAGATTCGAGATCGTTGGTATCGGATGACGAGTGCGGGAAGAGCACGCAGGTCTCATGTGCTGACCTCACGACCTCAGTCAGTGCCAATGAGACCATCACCCCGGAGGACGAGGTTTGCGGAAGCGATGGCGTCACCTATCGAAGTATTCATCACCTGCAATGCTACAACAGTCAAAATAAATGTTAGTGTCTGTCTCGGGAAGGCCTTATCTAGTCAGGCACCTTGAGCCTTTCGTTTTTGCAATATTTCCCACTGATATATTCTGAATACCATTCTGAGATCAGCTCTGATGTTGGATCGAATTACAGATTGAACCTCCGAGTCTTTGTCGTACGAACGAATTGTCGCAAAAAATAACCTTGTGAGAAAGTCAGATAGTAATGAAACTTCGAAGTGATTACTTATATATAAGCTTATATTACACCTGTTTGGAATTCAGACATTGTTGTTTCATTGTTTTCTTTGGCAGACTTGACCCTGAAGCGTTCTGGAGCTTGCATAGAACCCGAGGACGACCCGTGCATGTCTATACCTGAGGAAGATCTTCGACTTCCGGTGTGTGGCAACGACAATTTGTCCTACGTGAGCCCGGAGGCTCTGTGGTGCGCGAAATCGAAGTTCCCAGATAGAAGTGAGCTAATTTTGCTTTGTCTCTAATGCCTCGAATGCTGTCGTGGGTGAAATTTCACCCCTACTTATTGTTAGACATTATCTTCGGTCTTCCGTGTTTTTTTTTTTTTTTTTTTTTTTTTTTTTTAATTCAGAACCGAACGTCGAGGAAACGTGTAAATATCACTTACGATAGTAAATTTCTTTTCTTACAGAGTTGACGTTTGCTTACGACGGGCCTTGCTAGTTCTCACTCGATTAATCCACCTTTCGTTCGACGGTTCGCGTCATCGAGGATGAATGACTCGTCTCTGATGGCTCTTCCTTGAGAAAATTACTTCAACCTTCC